ACAGGTCAGGAGCAGCACATCAGAGCTTGTTTCAGGTCTACGTTGTGACCGTGCCCCTCACGGGCGACCTCAGAGATGGCGCCAATGCAGATGCCCACGGCGAAGGCTCAGACTGCCCCGAGGGAAAGCGAGCTCACACAGTCAGCAGCCCCAGGGCAGGCGCGCTGCAGGAGAGGGCGCGCAGGGCTGGTGGGCCACTGGCTCCACCGCCAAGCTCCAACCGGGAAACGCCACTTCAAAAGACTCGAAGCACACAGCTGGCAGGCCTGGCCAGGCACCCCAACAGTCACGGCTCCCCACCCTGCACAGACGGGTCCCCCACGCCTGCTGCCCCGGCTCTCCCCTCAGCATGGCGGCTAACAGAATCTGCTCCGTGGCGGCTGCCATTGCCCTTTGCACGTCGTCCGTGGAAAGCAGCAGCAGCAGCAGCGCTGCAAAGGCCCCACTCCTCCCTGAGGGTGCTCCACGGCTTACTCGGGAGCTAGGACAGGAAGCTCAAGGCTCCGTTAAGTCGCTGCGCTGGCTCTGCCTATTTCCCGAGCACTGAGAACAAATGTCCCGAGCTGAGCTGTGAACTACCAACCCTATGGCCGGTCCACATGCATTACAGCTTTGTCAACTGCAAGAACCACCGTTCTCTGAATCCCGTGACCTAGCAGGGAGCTTTCACGGAAGGCAGACTGAGCACCAGACACGTAAGCCCCCAAGAGGGAGTGATCCTGGAAAAGGCAGGGTCCCAGCCACAGAAGGCCATGGTCCGGCGAGACACGTCCTCCCCCAGCGCCTCAGGTCACTCAACTACGGAACTGGAGCATTTTAGTCACGCGGTCCGCATGCTGGTGGGGTGCCCGGCCGCTCCTGCACAGCCCTGACGGGTGCAGAGGAGGTCTGGCCACCACCTCTGAGGGGTCAAAGGCTGGCCCCGTGGCCACCGAGCTAGGCTCCAGTCATACGTGGCACGGGGCCAGGGAGCACGGCTGACATGGGACCAGGACAGGGGAGGTCAGTGCGGCCCTTCCCACACCGTGCTGGCTTTGAGCTCAGGCTGTCCCAGCCACACCGAGCTGGGAGCCTGCCTGTGGGAGGGGCTGACCACGGCCCCTGCCGAGAGGGCGCTTCCCGGCTGGGACGGAGCTGTCTGCTCAGCAGCCTGGGGCCGCGGAGGAGCCCAACGGATCTCACTTGTCAAGGGGCCTGTCATTCTCACTGGGGCAGCAAGACAGGCTTTGGGGCTGATGCATGCCCCCCAAAACTCACATGGATGGACAGTTACACAGGGAGGGTCTTCACAGAGTGACCACTACAGGACAGTTACCAGGGGCCTATTCTGACACGACTGCTGCCCTCACCACAGGACACCGGATGCACACGGGAGGGCGGTGCTGGGAACTGGGACAGACTCCCTCACGCCTCCCTCGGGAGACCCACAGCACACCCGACCTGCACCTGCGGCCTCCGGAGCCGTGAGGCCCACTTCCACCACCGAGCGCCGGGGACTGGCTTCCTGCAGCCCAGTGACTGCCCGCACAGCGCAGCAGGCCAGCAGCTCCACCCGGGCCTCCTGCCCACGGCGACACCCGCCTGACCGCCAGCCCTCCAGACCGCGGCGTCGGAAGTCAGCTGGGGCGGAGACGTGAGCACCATGCCCTCGAGGTCCCTGCGCTAAACACATAGCAGCAGAATGGGGAGCCCTGTCCGCCGCTTGCAGGGCTGCAGCTCGCAGGCCACTTCCCTCCATGGACCGATGGAGGCTCGGTGGGGCTCCGGTAGCTCTCATCGCCCCAGAGTATGAGGGGAATGGCCTCCGAGGAGGGCAGTGCCTTAGCTGACCGGCTCCTCCATCTTCCAGCCCGGCCAATGTGTGTCTCCCGTCTCCCGGCCCTGCCCTCGCATGAAACTGGAACAGCAGAGCAGACAGAGCCTGGCATGCCTGGCCGCACAGAGCCCCACGGGTGTGGGCGTCTCCCCCCGAGTAGGCCCGCCCGGCACTGCCCGCCCCTGCCTGGGTCAGATACCCCTGGAGCGGACGGAGCCCTGTAGGGGTCGGGGTCATGAGTGCCCACCTGCTGGGAAAGTTGTGCAATTAGAAATAAAGGCAGCAGGCTGGCCAAGGACCCGGCGGGGCACGCCCGGTGGAGCGCATGGCCTCGCACCGCTGGAGAGGAAGCTGACAGCCACGAGCAGAGCCCTGAGCACTCTGGGGCTCTGTTGCCACCTGCCAGGAGCGGAGCTGGCCTCCTGGGAGACCAAGGCTGCGTGTTGACTGCGGAACAGCGGCGCCGGCTGCTCTGGGGATTGCCAAGCCCAGGTCCCATCTGCAGCGGCGCAGGGATGGCAATTAAGAGAGCGGAGGAGCAAGTGAGCGGGGGTGGGGACGGCTGGCCCCGCCTCGTAAACAGAGCCCCCGTGCTCGGAAATCCGTGCAGGGCAGCGCTGTGGCTCAGACCGGGGTGTTTAGTCTCCCCACAGAGGACGCTGGGAAGCAGGATGGGCGCACACGCGGGGAGCACGTGGGGACACAGGGCACGTCACACGGCACTCCTGTGACTGATAGCACCAAGGGCCCCTGCTCCGGGATTGGGGACAGCCAGTCTTCCCAGCCCTAGGAGCTCACCTCACGTAGGCTGCGGGCGGCAGCGGCTTGGGCTTCGCCCACTGGTACGGGTGTTGCGGCACCGACAGGTACTGGTCGCAGAAGGCGCCCTTCCGGATGTGCTGGAAGCCGAACTCCTCGGGCGCGAAGTCGGGCGGGGGCGGTGTGGTGCCCAGGTCCTCACCGGCCGGCTCCACCTTCAGTGCCACGGAGGGCGAGTGCTCCAGGGCCGTCTTACGGGCCTTGACAGGGACGCCCTCGCCCAGATCCAGGCTGCTGTCGGTGGTCAGGGCGTTGATGGCCGCCACAATGGCCGAGCTGGTGTACTGGGTGCTGTTGCCCAGCCAGGTGTCATCGGTCACACTGACCCGCGGGGAGCCGTGCGGGGAGGGCGTGGGCGAGTGGCGGGGCGAGTAGGAGTGCTGCCGGCCGTTGAGGCTGTGCTTCCTCTTGTTGCACGGCGACGTGGGCCTGGAGCTGTGGGGGCCCAGCCAGCTGTCCTCGGTGACGCTGGTGCGGGGCGAGGCGGACGGCGAGTGTCGCGGGGAGGCCAGCAGCGTGCAGGCCCCCAGGCCGCGGGGAAAGCCGTCCTCGGGGTCCGTGGTCTTCGGGGACACGCACGGAGACTGCCAGGGCGACGTCTGGGGCGAGGCGTACGGGTAAGAGTAGTTGGACTCGTAGGACGAGGCCTCGGAGTTGCAGCTGCGGGACGACAGGCTGCTGGCCGGGCTCAGGCAGGAGGGGTCGCGGTAGGCCTCCAGGCCCGGCAGGTGCAGCGTGGCGGTGGAGGGCGGCC